AACACAAGTAGCCCCCCCCCCCCCCCCCAGAGGAAAAAAATTAGGTACATTGTGTTAAAAAAATTTTTTTTTACAAAAAAACAAAAACTGATATTAGGGGTTACCCGTATATTACATATCCTGGTAATAGGCGGTTACTAGGTTACTAGGGCCCCGCAGAGGCGGCTCTAGAGTTTGTGAGGCCTTAGACAAAACTCAAATGTGAGGCCCCACTTACAACCATAATGAAAATGTTTTAATTGAACTGTGATAAGTGATGGTAGAGCGAGGCGGATGTCCAGCGGAGGGGCACAGGGCCAATGCATGGATTTTACAGCCTGCACAGGTCAAAACTCCGCCCGCCCCCCTTCCCGGCACCCTCAGCTTTTTGCTAGATCCAGCCCTGGTCCCAGAGCCGCCTCTGGGGCCCGTCCTCCTGTCCTGGGCCCCCTCTAATTGGCGGAACTCCAGGGCCCGGTCGCGGCTGCGACTGTTGCGACCCTGGTAGTTCCGCCACTGTTTAGCATTAAAAAATTAGAAACAGATCTACCCTTATGATTTTGATATCTTTTCTACTCTGCAGTTTTTTGATCAACATATTTTTATTGAGTTTCATCACGTAAACATTTACAAACAAATTCAACATAACTACATACATAGACCAATACAAACCACATATATAAAAAGAAGAAAAAGAAATAAAAAATATAGGAGAGAAATATTTTTATTCTTTTGTTCACCAAATATACCTTCAGCTTAACAAATTTCAATTTAGATTATTTACATCTGTATAGAATATAGATTCAGTTTCTCTAATTTTCATTTCTCCTATGTTCCACTGATTTTACCTACAAAAGGGTAAAGTGAAGGGGGAGGGTCTAATAAGAGACCCCTTGTTCTATACTTATGTGTCCTACAATATACTGTGTTGTCGTTTTAATTTTCATAAGGGGGCATACCCCATACCCCATATGTACCCCTTATTTCGTACTCATGTGTCCTACTAATATACTATATTCAAATATAATATTCCTAAGGGGACAATTCCTTTATATACCCTTTATCCCTAATCATTACTTCCGTTATTCTTAGTGTGAATGCTTATCCCTACTCTGCAGTTTTAATCTTGAATAAGTATAATATAATAAAATATACTTGGAACACATCTTACAAAAGAAATTAGGCTTGGTTAATTTCATTTAATTAAAACCAAACAGGTTTGCCCTAGGCATAGTTACAAGTTCTTTTACAAGTTGCTGATAGCTCATCTATTCTGTTACTGATACTTATCTCCCCAGCGCTCCCCCGTTTTGTTCACCATAGCCCCTAGTAAAAACACCTGTGTGAGTTCAGTGTGTAAGAACTTAGACAAGGCCAATGACCACCCCCACCTGCCCCTACAAGACAGTCCTCTGGTCTGGTGATTGACTGAAGAGGTACAAGCACTGCATAGTGAGTGTTCCCTCATACCTAAAAGTACTAGGCATTTTAGAGGGCACTGGCTGGCAGACAGGGCATTGGGAAAGCACACAGGGGAGGGAAATCGTCTAAAACTGTGGGGACTGGCTATCAGGTGTTAGTTTCCCTAAAAGGACAAAGTAAAAATGTACCTAAGGGGATCTTGGACAAATACACAAACACATTTAGAGAAAACATACTCTGTTTAGAAATGCTTTAATTAAGCTGCCTTACAGTGTTAACAGTGGATGTCCTAAAGGGGAATCTGACATAAAGTAAAAAGCACCATTGTATAGAAAGTTGGCTGAACTTTTTGTCTTCTAGTGTGGCACCAAGCTTCTCCTGACAAATGATCCCTTGGAAGCTGCCAGTGGAGCCAATGTGTTGGTTACAGACACGTGGGTGAGCATGGGCCAAGAAGAGGAGAAGAAGAAACGTCTGTTAGATTTCAAAGGTTATCAGATCACAATGAAGGTACATGATGGATGATGTTGGTATTTCAGCAAAAAAGTAAATAAAAGTTCAGTAGAACACCATTTAACTACTTTTAGCTATAGGAGTTAGATAACGTTACAAACTGCTCGCTATATACAATAGAGTAATAGGGTTGCGGGCTGAATACTTTCTTAATTAAAGGGTCAAATTACCCAGTTAGGAGATTAAGAATCATTTTCTGAATGATCATGAGTTTGTAGGTGGGAACTGTTTATCTAAAATGCTCCTTGGATCTTGATGGACCCATAAAAGATGTCATTGTCCTGTGTAAAGGACAGTCATCAGTGCTGTAATGGCATTACTTCTGATTCCGGCTGGGGCATAAATCTATAAAGATGGGACACCGCCTTATGCAAAAACAATTAGTAAAATCGTTCAATTCACAGTGCTTGTAATATTTGAGCTGCATAAATATATAAGAAAGAAAACTTTTAGGCATTTGCCAAAATACAACAGCATATAGCAGTGAGTAAGGGGTCTTGAGACATCAGATAGTTTCATTGATATCAAACTCAAAATGTTTTTAAGCTATTTCAAATGTTGAATAAATCACTTTCATTGGATGCTGCTTCTTGATGTTTAAAAGTTATATTTTCCTGCAGAATCAGCTGCTCCCCTGAGCAATGTCACTGATATCCTGTTTTAGGGTGGTTCTTTTCCCTTGTGGGGTCTTATGGAGATACCCTTGTGTGCTAGTAAGCTAGGTGTCCACACAAACACACAGACAAGGCAAGACAATTCACTGTCCAACACCCATCTCCTCCTGCTTTCTCTATGCTAGTAGATGGACAGCTGCTGGAGACTCTGTTGTCCTGATCTTGTACTCGGCAGGAAGTTCAGGGAAGCCAAGCTGAGAGAGTTGGAAGCAGCTGTTCAGAAACATGTTGATTGTAAGTGCTTGGGCAAAAAGGTAAAGAAATACTTTGCTGGGCAATGTATAATAGCAATGTATAATTATTGAAAAACGTTTGAGCATTTAATACTGCTTTAACTTGCGTTGCGTTAAGGTAGCCCATTCAATACGAATAGGCTACCAATACGCAAAAAAGAATGAAAAAAAATGCAACTGATCCCTTTTTCTTACACAGCATTCCATAATGCATGTTATGTGCTTTGTGATGTGCAAGTGTGTGTAAGTCTTCTGTACAATATGTTGGGGTGCCATATACAATGAATGGCAGCACACCACCCATACAGCAGGTGTGTTGCCAGGTGTTTCAGTAACATGCATTATGCACATTACCACACTGCACATATGTGAATAGTTCCAAAGTGTCTGTATGTTCTGGAGGAAAGGAACAAGTGAAATGTGTGCTCACTGAGGACTGTTTTTTTTTTTTTTTTTAAACACGCATATCATTTAGAATATATGTGCTAGACTTGTGCATGGCTTAAATTGTCCTTTTGTTTCCAATCGTTATATTACATAGTTACATAGTATTTGAGGTTGAAAAAAGATATAGGTCCATCAAGTTCAACCTTTGTGTGTGTGTGTGTTTGTTTGTTGTGCGTACGTGTGTATAAGAGTCCCTGTGTGGTCTAGTATTTAAGTGTCCCCTCTTAATCTCCTCACTTCCAGAGTAAACAAGTTTACATTTAGCAACCTTGTCTCATAGCTTTGATCCTCCAGCCCCTTAATTAGCTTTGGTGCTCTTCTTTTTACCTTCTTCAGCTCCAGGACATCTTTTCTGTGGACCGGTGAACAAAACAGAACTGCATATTCAAGATGAGGCCGAACTAGTGATCTATAAAGTGGCAACATTATTGCTTTATCTCTACAGTACATTCCCTTTTTAATACAAGACAGTATTCTGCTTGCTTTGTTTGCCACAGCCTGGCATTGCAAGCTATTATTCAGTCTGCGGTCAATTATGACCCCCAAATCTTTTTCCATTTCTGCCTTCCATAGTGGAGTTCCCATGAATGTATAATCCGCTTGCCTGTTTTTAACCCCAAAGTGCATTACTTTTTCAACATTAAACCTCATCTGCCATGTAGTTGCCCACTCCCCTATTTTATCCAGGTCCTCCTGTAAAGTAATAATGTCTAATCCCGAGTCTATTACCCTCCCAATTTTAGTATCATTGGCAAACGCAGAAACATTGCTATTGACGCCCTCCCCAATATTGTTAATAAACAGGTTAAATAGTATGGGGCCTAGCACAGAACCCTGGGGCACACCACTCTCAACCTTAGACCAATGTGAAAAAAGTCATTTTTATATTTTTATATTGGATGCATATGTTGTGTGGCAGCATTCATTTTCAAATACATTTCTTATTTCGGATCCATTTGCTGTATTCGTTCATTCCTTATTTCGGCCATTAGTTGCATTCGGATCCATTCAATGTATTATTTCATTTGTTATTTAGGACATTAGTTTTATTCCAACTGCTTTGACTGCTGTTTGTAAGATCTGATGCTCAGTTGCCTCTTCAAGACGATTTCCAAGCAGGTTGCCACTTGCATAGCCACTTCAATGGTATCAATACTGCTGCAGCTATCAGTTGTGGTAGTGCCAGCTATCTTTTTACTTTCAGAAATTGCCTCCTCGATATGCAATATCTCCATCTTTGGCTGACTAAAGCTGTGGCCACTAGCAACAGCCTTTCAGGGTACTTCATGCTGTGCACAGTTTCTCTTGTAAAACAGAGCTGTAGTCACAATTGGCCTCTGGCTATCTTTTTTGGAAGATGTAGCTGTCGGAGGGAACATTTTCTTCTGTTGCATCACTCACATGGAGAGTGTAAGGAGTTTGAGAAATATTATTCATTATGTTGGGATATTTTAGAAGGATTTTCAGCTACTATATATTAGACATGTGCGATTCGTTACGTTCCGAATCGAAATTCGGACGAAATCTGTCACAAGGCTGACAAATGACACTGCAGACAAACTATCTGGATTCTGGAATGCAGTCTGACTAAATAACACAAAGTGATAAGCTGATTGGCCAGAGACACACAATAACATTGCCCAGCTGAATATAGAATGCATTAATTATCATAAATCCAAATGCATTCGTTATTTTCGTTATATTAAGCAGATAAGCATTTTCTACAGCAGATAAGAATTAAATGCAAATTGATCAGAACGTATTCATTAGTTCTATATGTTGAATCATTCGTTATCGTCATTGTCGTTCTTTTGTGTATTCGGATGTTCAGATTTTGGATTGATCCATATTCAGATTTTGGATCGATAAGAATGTCCATATAAGCAAAAATGTGTACAAATATGTTCTGCTATGAAAAATAGCTAGTTACAGAGGTGTTTATAACTAAAGAAGGGTCACATCAACTATTGAGAAAGCTGTATTGTCAGCATGAACTATGTCATCTGTTTTAAAAAGGCTTTCTACTGTTAGGCATTTTAAATTGTTTGAATTCATTCCAACAAGAATGCATCTGGGCATATGGACCTGAAGAGAGATTAGAGAATCACATTAGATTACAATTCAGCCTGGATTATCCTAGTTCACGCCCTGCTAAAATTGTTCATCTCCATCTGCAGATTGTAATGGAAAGGTATGAGTGGTCATATTGTATTGTATCAAGGTTTGTTTCTGATTGCCCTAATGCAAGTGTTTATAGTGTAGATTTTTTGCCTACCACTGGGACTGATACGATCAATACTATTTCCTTCTATCTTGCTAACTATTTCTGGTCAACCACTGACCCCAGAGGAGGAGGACACCGTCTGTCATTGGTCGTTATGACACCAGCGGTCCTAACAACCAATGACTGAAGAGTAGTGGTGAGCTACACTGGGTTATGGCTGTCAATGGATGCACGGGCCCGCTGCATCCACTGTCAACCAGGTATTACCCAGCACAGGTTGGCGATCCCGGTCTGGACACAACCATTACTCAGTCCATGTCCGGACCACAGGACACCTGCTGTACAGTGTTGATGGAGCACAGCAAATATTAGTTGTTTGAAATAATGATTGCCAAGGAGTGATTCTCTGCGTCACCAACAGCAGCAGAAGCCACTGTGTTTTGGTTCTGTCTAAACTGTTGGCTATTGCCATAGGCAATTCTGATGTTCACCTGTACTGTCTGGCCTTTACTAGAGCCGCTGGTGAAGCTAAAGTTGTGCTGCAGGTACAAGAGTGTGAACATTAGAATTGCCTATGGCAATAGCCAACAGTTTAGGCAGAACCAAAACAGAGTGGCAAATCAGGAAGCAAAGATGAAGGTAGGACAGCTCGAAAGGCAAGGCTTGCAGCATACAGTGAAGCTGAATAACAGTATGATTTGCAACCAGGGTCCTTTTCAAGGATGGGCCAAGAGACAGATGCAGTTTACGCCAAGCAAATCTGTAAACAGGAAACCAGTTCTTAATATACAATGGCAGCCTGGAAGCTTCAGGTACAGACTCCTTTAAGCAGATACTAATCTGAGTGCTGTAAACAAAGTTTAAGGTGTGCATCTGCTGAATATTATGCAGCAAATGATGAGCAAAGCATCTAAACACAACAGGTTGGAATACTTTAGGAAGAATGCAAGTGTTATACAGCTGCGGGTTAATCGTCAATACACGGCTCACATTTTGGCTGAATTGGCCAAAATTCAAGCCGTGGGTGATCCTGTCAGAAGACTGTTCTCTTGCGTTGTCACCCCATTGCACACTCTCCCTGTCATGCAGTATGTATTTATTCAATCCAAAAAGTTACTTACTCTTACTCCCCACCTGAGCCTAAATCAACCCATAAACTTAACTTCTACACTTCACATTTACCGTGAGCATGACCAAAATAAATGCCGACTTGGCAATACTAGCTCAGATATTGCTATGATGTTAAAATGTAATGTGGCCAGACAAATATATGATATAACATATCAAAAGAAAAAAATGCAGCTGATAAAAATGTCTTTGCAGAAAGCAAATGATCAAACGAGAAACGTAATCACCCATGAATCTAAGAAATACATGGTAAACATGCAAGTAAATTTTCTCTTAATATATATTATATTTTCCTATTGCTTTTCTTTCCTCAGACTGCAAAACTAGCTGACCCCAACTGGATATTTCTTCACTGTTTGCCAAGAAAGCCTGAAGAAGTTGATGATGAGGTTTTCTATTGTCCCAAATCGTTGGCTTTCCAAGAAGCAGAAAACAGAAAGTGGACAATCATGGTATGATGAATAAGCATTAGAAGTATTCACACAAAGCCATCCTGCTCAAGTACTGGTTTATTATACCGGAAACTTTCACTAAACGGCCGTCGGGTCGGCAGGTTTTTGAGGGGAACCCAACACATTTTTAAAAACCTTCTTTAACTGGGGATCCCTCCTAGCATTCATACCAGACCTAGAAGGTCCTTGGGTTTGAGAAGCAGACTCCAAATCCAGCAGAATCCAACAACAATGTTAGATTTCAAACACATAATTGTGAATTGCTGGCTTTCTTTGCATTGGATATTGCCACGCAGAGTGTAGCAATCTTTGAAGACTACCCTAGGGTTCCAATTAGTGTCCACGGCGGGGTGTTATGTTGTAGATAAACATGCCTTACATCAAGGATGCCCATTTATTATAAATGGGCTGCCAATGCACTGCAAAGGATTAAGACATGCACAGCTCTTTTTGTCCACCACAGTGGACCACAATACATGGTATGTGGATTGTGGTATATGTTGTCATGTGTTGTGTGTAGTCCACTACTGTACAGTGAGTTAGGATGCCATTACAATTAATGGAACTGCAATGCACATAGAGCCATGGGTTGATGCTCATTGTGGTAATGGGTGTAATGGCAATGCAATAGTCTAAATGGGCTCTAACATCTTGCAGCTTCTATTTGAGTAAGGCTGATTGTTATTTTTTTCCGTAATCTGGTAAGTACTCTGAGAATGAAAGGTTTTTTGTAAAATAGATTTTATATTTGCACCCTTTGTAGACTGAAAAAATAACTGTTTGTTATGTTGAGAACAGATAAAGTCAGATAAAGTCTACATAGTAAACAAAGGCAATAAAACACATCAGCAAAGAGCAGCAACAATATTTTGTGCTCTCATCCATCTTTAATTCACACCAAGAAAGAAATACGAATCCGACATTATCTGAAATGAATTTCTAAGAAAAATTAGTCTCCAATGAAATACATTGCAATAAATGTTTGCAAAGTCAATAGCAGTTATTTACTTGCTTAACTTTTGTATATATTGTGCACTTACTGAAAGTCATTGCAGCCCTTCAACATCTCTATAGTCATGTAAGTCCTTATGCAGTTCCAGGGGCCCCTTTGATTGCTAGTTATGCCACTTGCAGAGCCCACCTGAGAGTGACCCTGTAGAGCCCACCATAGACTCTCTATGGTGGGCTCTGCAGGGTCTCATATGGGCTTCACACCTCTTACCTGTCAGCGATGTCCGCTAATTATCTCATAAGAAGACTACTAACACATTGTCACAATATTGCACATCAGGTTAAAACCAGTAAAATAAGCAAATGCCCTGTTTTAAGGAGGTGATCCTAACATAGGGGTGCTATTGAAGGTGCTGATAAAAATCATATCCTGCTTATACACAGTAACAGTAAAATTACAGGTTCAGCATTACTGAGTTTCCTGCCCGACCACTGCAGCTGCCATACTGGAAGGCACAGTTGCCGAAAAGTTTTGCAGAGCCTGACAGGGACAAATAGAGACTAGTTCCCTATTAGGTCCAGCTTTCTTGTAATTGACAGAGGATGGCAGGAGGCAGATTCCATAGCCGCTAGCATGACCAACTGGTTTTTGATCATGCTGTTGCCTTGTAGTTAATTTAGCATACTAAAGCACTAAGTATTTAATGTATTTAATACATTCAAAGCTCCTCCCTTGCAAATCCAAAAAGGATTATTATCAGGTGTTGCCTACACTGTGGCATGAATGTACAGGGCCTGATTTTTACCACGGGAGCCTGTAGGTGCACAGCCCATTAAATGAATGTGCTTCCTGCTCTGCCTGAAATTTGTCACCTAGACAGGAAATAAAAATAAAATTCCCTCAAGAACAGAGACAGCCGTTAAAACCAAACAGAGGATCTAACTTCTCCACTCCACAAAACTGGAAAAAAAATGTTTAGGCTGGAGTTCAGCTTTTATAATCCTTTCAGATTCCAAATGCATTATTCACTTATTAGCCATCCCTTATTTTACAATATTTTTCAGGTTGCTTGCAATGTGCAGTGCCAATGCTGCTCGTGTGGTTTTTAATGGTACTGTACTACACAAGCTAAATGATTTGTAACCAGCAGTAACATTTGGGACTAGCTAGTTGGTCCCAAAGGGGCCACTCGGTCCCAGATCAGGCTGTTGCCTCATCATTAATTTTGCATACTAAAACAATGTCTTTAATGCACTCAAAGCTCTTCACTTGCAAAAGCAAAAAGGATTATCAGGTATAGCAGACACTGACGGGAAAATAACTGCTATTGCCTTAAATGTATGTAGGGTCTGTTTTTCATCACAGAAGCCTGTAGGTGCACAATTTTTGGTGCCTTCAGTAACACCCCTATGTTAAGATCGTCTCTTTAAAACAAGACATTTTGTTTTGCTGGTTCTAAACTGGTTTACAACATTTTGTGTGAATGTGTTAATAGCTTTTGATGAGATGATAATTCCCACTGATGACAGAGGAAAATGTGGGTAACAATTGTACAGGGAAAAGCCAACTCTTTGCCTTTGCCACTTATAGGCACATGCTTACTGTGCTAAATAATAAATCCAGTGTTGTGTATGTATATATGTCTTCTAACCCAGGGCTCAAAATTTCAAGTCCTGAGCTACTAGCCAGGCCTTAAGAGTCACTAGCCACCAGTTGCCCCACCTAACCCTTGCCCTGCCCCGGCCTTAACTCCGGCCCTAAACACACCCTCTTAAATAATCTTATGATGATTCTTATCTTATGATAGTTGCCGCTGGTAAACGGCAGATTAGGGATTCCTGCTGCAGGAAACGCAAGTTCCTGACACAGGAATCTCTAATCACACCTGAAATATACTGTAGGTGTGAATGGGGAATAATAAACACATACACTAAAGGTGTCCATACACCTGCCGATTATCGTACGATAGTTGTGGGTGACCCCACGATTGTACGATAATCGGCAGTTGTATGGGCAGCGTGCGACCGCTTCTACTGTAAGATCGTACGACTTTCATCTTCCAAGCACGCTGGAAAACCTGCAGAAAATCGTACGATTTTTGGCGGGGCTGGTGGCGTGGTCGGAAGACAAATGCCGCACGGGCCGGTGTGCGCAAGCGCACACTGCCCACTCAGCACTGCAATCATCGGAACCCCTTCACTCAGCGGGGAGGGCTTGCGATGATCGCAAGTACGATCTGCCTGTCCAAGATGGGCAGATCGTACGAGATTTTAATGACCTCACAACCATCGCATAACGAAAGTCGTTACGCCCTGCACAAATATAATAATAAAATTCCCCCCGCACACACACCTGGTTTATCTGTGACTGATTAGTGAGGTCTGCAGCAGACCTCACTATCACCCCCAGATAACCAGGCATCGATGCTGCTCACCCTCTCTGTCCTTCTCTACATGATTTATTTTCTACCACAGCAATGCTGCCACCTTAACTCTCACAAGTTTGACCACACACTGTGTGTAAGAACAGGGCTCTTGGGAGATGTAGTTCTGTCAAGCAGGTATGCATCAATAGGATCTGACTTCCCAACAGCTCTCCGTTTACAAGCCTAGTGATGACATCACAGGGAGTACTAAAAGCTGTTTTTCCCTTACACCTGCTGTCCAATACCACATCTAGTTGGTGACAGCATGTAGCAGGACAAGGAATAGCTGCGTGTCAGCGCTTAGTCTAGACAACGTGGATGGTCAGAAGACAGTCTGCATTCTGCTGAGATGCTTAGACCAGATCTTATGCAGGAGGTTGATATGCAGGTGTGGCATCACACAGCTCTGCTGTTTCTCTATAGGAATTTATGAAGAATATGAGCAAATGGCTGTATTACATTTCATGTAGTAGCCACTGTCGCCTGTGCAAAATTATGAGCATTGCTCATACACTGAATAATTATTAACTGGTCTAATATCTGCTAAAAATCAGCAAGTATAAGGGGTAGTACTTACTTTTCTGTTCTTACAAAGAGTCAATATCTGCTTGGATTGTAGAACTACTTCCATTGTTACGTACATGATCTAGAGTCCCAAATGTTCATATCTGCCTAGTTTGACTAGTTCTACAAAAGATCGGGCTACCAGATTCTAACCCTCAATGTGGACATTCATCTCAATCAATAACCGTAATCATTCCATAGCATTATTGCCATTTATTTCTCCTCCATAACAGTGCTTTGTCTTGTTCTCCTTAGGGCGTGATGGTGTCTCTGCTGACTGATTACTCTCCTCAGCTGCTAAGGCCTACATTCTAATTCTCAGCATATGCCTACTAAATGCTAATTCCTATGGACAAGTTATCTGATACACAAGAATGATCACTGGGTAAAAACATCAAAACAAATGAACAGTTCCTTTCAAACATGCTTCTGAGTGGCATACATTGTACTCTGCTGTACAGTTATTCCCATATTAATCAGACTTATATAGATTGTTTGGTTGTTTAGATGTTCAAAGTTCTGAAAGTTGTTTTGCCGTTTATAATTTGATGCTTCCTGTTTTTTTTAATATGCAGCTTTACAGTCCAGTCAATAAAATGATTCTGAAGATATTAGGTAGAGTGTGTTTTACCTTATAAAATAGTTTTTGAGCCTTTATACATATTTTATTTTGTTTTACAATGTTTATTATTTTGTTTTACAATGTTTGTAACAATCTATACGCCATGTACTGTGCACTACATACTAATGATTTGTAGCGCTGGATTCTAGTATACATAGAAGGTAATCACTAAGCCCTCAGAGGCAACTTTAAATTCAGGGATCTTGAAAAACAACAAGCAGTGAATAGCCAGAAGCTCTAATCCTATAATACAAGGACAAAATAACAGTGCTCTGGGCTCCGATATATAAACAATACTAACTTAAAGGGAAACTCCATGCACATACAAAATACACATTTTAATGCAGCTCAATAATCTTTAATACATCCTTAAAGTCCACCCTTGAAAAAAATAATAATTTTTGAATAAAAATAATACATGCACAATAAAGATGCACATGCATCTTCATAAAATAAAAAATGTGAATTTTTTAAGGTTTTTTTTTATATTAAAGCATTGCAACTGCGATCACGTGGATGCTAACTCTGACTCCGGCAGATTCTCCCTCCTGTCCCTGTCCGTACCCATTTACGGACATTTAGTAACTTATATGGGAGGAAGAAGAATGAATGGACTAGAAGTGCAGTGACATTGCCGCACTTTTATTCCATTGAGAAATGCAAGTCCCTAATGGGACTTGTCGTTTCTCCATTCACAGATCCTGTCAAAGGTGGAGCCACACACAGCTGTGCCATTTAAAACTAAAACCAGCCTACAGGAGAAGAACCCCGTGATTCAGGTAAGTGTGTGTGTGTGGGCCCTACAACTATGCAACTAGCATTTTAAAAAGGAGAATATAACAATCTACATATTCATCTCTGTATAGATTTCCTTTAAGAAAGAGTCTTTTTAACCCTATTTTCATAAACAGACATTATAGTATACCTTTTACCTTTATAAGTTGTGAAAGAGGCATGCAAGAGTGGAACACAAAGTAGGTTGAAGGGAAATGTGAGCATGGCTTGTTAGGAGGGGCTGTGAATATGCATAAGGTGTGGCTTAATCATAATAGAGAAAATTAAATATAAATGGTTAAAAAAACAAAACATAATTTTTAATCATGCAAAACGTTTTGAGGAGCTCACAGTTGCCAAGGCACTGTTGGATCATTATATTTGCCATTCATATCAGACTATTATTGATAATCACAGGCAGATCATTTATAATGACAGAAGACAGAATAGTCTACCTGCAACTCCCTTTATCCTCTTAAAAAAAAAACACCGGGCGCCTTTCCTGGCGTTTAGAAAGATTAAAAGTGATAAATGGTACTCACAAAAGAGGTAGCTAAAAAGCGTGTTGGACATAAATCTCAGGATACATGCAGATTCCTAGCAGTCAGAGAAAACAATCCAAATATGCTGCTAGACCAGCAGAAGCAAGCTGACTCAGCTGAACGCGTTTTCGGGGAGTTCACTGAGTCAGAGCTAGCTCTGAGGAAGGGGAAACTCCCCGAAAACGCGTTCAGCTGAGTCCACTGAGTCAGAGCTAGCTCTGAGGAAGGGGAAACTCCCGAAAACGCGTTCAGCTGAGTCAGCTTGTTTCTGCTGGTCTACAAAAAAAAGCATATTTGGATTGTTTTCTCTGACTGCTAGGAATCTGTATGTATCCTGAGATTTATGTCCAACACACTTTTTATCCACCTCTTTTGTGAGTACCATTTATCACTTTTAATCTTTCTAAACAAATAAAAGGATTATTTGCACCAGGAAAGGCGGCCGGTGTTTCTTTTTTTATGTTTCACACAGTGTAATCCCTCATCTGTAAAGGGGCGGCCTGCCTGGAACACAAGATTCAATTTGTGGCTGAAGGAGGTTCCTATCTGGCGTTGGTTTTGCTTTTTGTGGAATTATCCCTTTATCCTCTGCAGGGCTCCAAAAGACTGTCAGAGGCTGCAGACATGGTACAAAAGACTGTCAGAAGCTGCAGGCATAATACATATAAGGAGACTTGCAAACGTTATAGGCATATGTATACATACCTAGAAGTCCCTGAGCCATTGTTAGATCAAAATAATTGGCCTTCATATCAAACAGGCATTGAATTATAATAGACAGGTAGGTTAGACCACTAAATAATATGATGACAGATTGAGGTGTATTTAGTACAGTAGAGTAGAATATTCACCCAATAAATTGTGTGAATATTTACTTCAACTGTCCAATCATGTGCAGATAAAAAAAAGTAGACATGAATTTTCTTTTCTTATGACTGAGTAACTGAAGTGAATATTCACACAGTTTATTCAGGTCACATGTAATGTATGTAATGTATTACTGCCACAAGAATAAGCTGAGGAACCAAGGAAATAAGTATCCATCTAGTGGCCAGAACACTGTAGTACTGTTTATTACATAACATTCCACCTAAAAGAAGAAAATATATCTAAAGACAATTTTCAGGGCAGAAGAAATATTTAAAAAATAAAAGAAAATATAATACCTGAATGAAAAAACAATATGCATTTTTACTATCGTGACCCGCCACTCGGCTTCCTGATTGGTCAGGAAGCCAGGCTGCCCTGCAGTGTCGCTAGGCAGTTTGAATCTCCCTCTGATCGGCAGTACTGGTATCGGGGTACGCATCGGAGCATTTGGGCCAGTACTGGCCCAAATGCTTAATATCGTCACTGATACCAGTATTGGTATTGGTGCATCGCTAGTTATCGTTTATTGTTATTTATAATTATGTTATTTATACTGGATTTGTTATTAAAATGCTGCTGTGGCTATTTTAACTACACCCCTGTGTGTTGGTATTATATTTAAAGCAGGGGGAGGATGGGGGGTTGAAGGGGAACAGATAAGGACTGGAGCATGGCAGGGAAGTTTGAACTACCTTAGTCATGAAGCTTGAAGATTGCTAAATGTAAAGCATACTAGGTGGGACTGACAAATCAATATCAAGAACACAAAGAAAAATGCAACTCTTATTTCTAATCAAGCACATGGGGTAAAGTGTTTCCAATATACACTATTTTTATGAACACATTACCATAATAATACTAAACTGCCTGCAGTGATAGGATGCTGTCATTTTCGACAGTGGCCTTTTGTAGTTAACATTTTACTAATTATATTTTATAATAAAATGTAACTATTATGGGCCTGATTTGCTAAGGGGTGAACTGAGTTTGCTCGTCTAAAGCCTGTTTTGTTGTACTAATCTTTTTTTTTCCAGTTGAGCCTGATTCACTTAAAAGAGAACTATGGGGTAATCTTTTTCCCCCCATAGTTCTCTTTAGGGACACGGGAGTACATATACTAACATCCTCCCGTGACCCAAAATGAAGTATATATTGGGCTACTATCCCAGCAATACTGTCGAGATCCATACCGCTGGCTCATTGACAGCAGGCAGAGCCAGCTATGACCCCCGCCCTCCTCCACTCAGCGTGTGACCCCAAATCCCTGTCCCAGTGACAGTCACGGCTCTCTGCGAGGAGATGATCGGGAAGTGAGCGGATCGGCGATATGTTTTTGCTCACTTCCCGATCAATAGAGCCGGCATGTGACAGTTTCAATGTCGCGCGTCGGCTTTTACCATGGGAATGAGTGTAATTCATTCACCCCATAGTTCTCTTTTAAATTTTAGCACTCCAATTATGTCATAATGGATTTTTTTGGTGTGCAAAGTATAAGAATTTCTTGTCAACGTGTGCACATTAAGAGCAGTTCTGCAAATATTTGACTTTTACATTCAAAGTGCATTATGGCCATTATGACTCCTCAGCTCCATCTGGTGGCCATACTGTCATATGCAGATATATGCAAAAATATGCATAAAGCTAACGGCTCTACAAGTGTTATATAAATACACAATTGGGTGTTCATCAAATTTTAGAACAACAGGAAACAGTGGTAGGTGCAGTTATTGTGGGGCTAAGCACTTCGTATACAAAAAGAATACGGAGAAGAGGGTTACTATTTAAAGTATATCTAAAGTTCAAATATTTTCATCGGTTTTTTTTAGAGTAGGGCATGTTTGAAATGCATGTCAGCTTTTATACTGTGTCCCATTGAGAACATTTCCCTTTACTTCCTGACCAAGAGACACAACACAAAGCAAAAGGAAATCTCTACAAAGTGGGAGATAACAATTATCCCCATTGAAAGATTTCCCCTCTTTTCCGGTTTGGATGACAACCAGAAATCACAGGGCCCCATAGCAAAATTTGTATGGAGCCCTGAGATTTCTAGTTATGCCTTGCAGAGCCCAACTGAGATCCCACACAGCCCACCTGAGAGTGACCCTGCAGAGCCCGCCATAGGCTCTATGGTGGACTCTGCAGGGTCTCAGGTGGGATGCTCACCTCTTACCTGTCAGCCCCGATCCGCTGTCCACCTCCTTGGTTGCTGGCAGGCCCCACCTCCTCCATCGCCGGGCCCCACCTCATCTTCCGTCGTCAGGCCCACCTCCTCCACAGCTGCTGGCTGTCACTGGCTCAGCAGCGGCTGCGAGGAGGAACGCGCCGCTGCACAGATCACTGACAGGTTGTCAGTGATCTAACAGCGACATGTTCCTTCTCAAACCCACCAGTGACAGCCAGCAGCCTGAGATGCCATAGCGACAGCATCAGGGGGATGTCCTGGCCTGGCCCCGCAGCGGTCACCAGAGTCGCTATAGTGATTGTTAAGCCACTGATGACAACTGTAACATTTTGGATTTCCCATCACTATCTGTCCCGGTGACAATAAATTTTTAGGAAAATAGGACAAATAGTTTTTCTTTCTTTGCAATTTTTTTAATGTTTTTTGTAATATTGCATTATGGCCACTAGATGGAGCTAAAGGAGCAGAAAAATTATGTATTTATTTTCTATGCTCCTTAATGCAATCTAGTGGCCATAATGCAACATTGAAAGGA